AACAACTCACAGTTGTATCTAATATAGTCCGCGAAAATAACTCGCAGTTGTATCTAATATAGTCCACGAAAATAACTCACAGTTGTGTCTAATATAGTCCGCGAAAACAACTCACAGATGTGTCTAATATAGTCCACGAAAACAACTCACAGATGTGTCTAATATAGTCCACGAAAACAACTCACAGTTGTTTCTAATATAGTCCACGAAAACAACTCACAGTTGTTTCTAATATAGTCCGCGAAAACAACTCACAGATGTGTCTAATATAGTCCGCGAAAACAACTCACAGTTGTATCTAATATAGTCCGCGAAAACAACTCGCAGTTGTATCTAATATAGTCCACGAAAATAACTCACAGTTGTGTCTAATATAGTCCGCGAAAACAACTCAAAGATGTGTCTAATATAGTCCGCGAAAACAACTCACAGTTGTGTCTAATATAGTCCGCGAAAACAACTCACAGTTGTGTCTAATATAGTCCGCGAAAACAACTCACAGTTGTGTCTAATATAGTCCGCGAAAACAACTCACAGTTGTGTCTAATATAGTCCGCGAAAACAACTCACAGTTGTGTCTAATATAGTCCGCGAAAACAACTCACAGTTGTGTCTAATATAGTCCGCGAAAACAACTCACAGTTGTGTCTAATATAGTCCGCGAAAACAACTCACAGTTGTGTCTAATATAGTCCGCGAAAACAACTCACAGTTGTGTCTAATATAGTCCGCGAAAACAACTCACAGTTGTGTCTAATATAGTCCGCGAAAACAACTCACAGTTGTGTCTAATATAGTCCGCGAAAACAACTCACAGTTGTGTCTAATATAGTCCGCGAAAACAACTCACAGTTGTGTCTAATATAGTCCGCGAAAACAACTCACAGTTGTGTCTAATATAGTCCGCGAAAACAACTCACAGTTGTGTCTAATATAGTCCGCGAAAACAACTCACAGTTGTGTCTAATATAGTCCGCGAAAACAACTCACAGTTGTGTCTAATATAGTCCGCGAAAACAACTCACAGTTGTGTCTAATATAGTCCGCGAAAACAACTCACAGTTGTGTCTAATATAGTCCGCGAAAACAACTCACAGTTGTGTCTAATATAGTCCGCGAAAACAACTCACAGTTGTGTCTAATATAGTCCGCGAAAACAACTCACAGTTGTGTCTAATATAGTCCGCGAAAACAACTCACAGTTGTGTCTAATATAGTCCGCGAAAACAACTCACAGTTGTGTCTAATATAGTCCGCGAAAACAACTCACAGTTGTGTCTAATATAGTCCGCGAAAACAACTCACAGTTGTGTCTAATATAGTCCGCGAAAACAACTCACAGTTGTGTCTAATATAGTCCGCGAAAACAACTCACAGTTGTGTCTAATATAGTCCGCGAAAACAACTCACAGTTGTGTCTAATATAGTCCGCGAAAACAACTCACAGTTGTGTCTAATATAGTCCGCGAAAACAACTCACAGTTGTGTCTAATATAGTCCGCGAAAACAACTCACAGTTGTGTCTAATATAGTCCGCGAAAACAACTCACAGTTGTGTCTAATATAGTCCGCGAAAACAACTCACAGTTGTGTCTAATATAGTCCGCGAAAACAACTCACAGTTGTGTCTAATATAGTCCGCGAAAACAACTCACAGTTGTGTCTAATATAGTCCGCGAAAACAACTCACAGTTGTGTCTAATATAGTCCGCGAAAACAACTCACAGTTGTGTCTAATATAGTCCGCGAAAACAACTCACAGTTGTGTCTAATATAGTCCGCGAAAACAACTCACAGTTGTGTCTAATATAGTCCGCGAAAACAACTCACAGTTGTGTCTAATATAGTCCGCGAAAACAACTCACAGTTGTGTCTAATATAGTCCGCGAAAACAACTCACAGTTGTGTCTAATATAGTCCGCGAAAACAACTCACAGTTGTGTCTAATATAGTCCGCGAAAACAACTCACAGTTGTGTCTAATATAGTCCGCGAAAACAACTCACAGTTGTGTCTAATATAGTCCGCGAAAACAACTCACAGTTGTGTCTAATATAGTCCGCGAAAACAACTCACAGTTGTGTCTAATATAGTCCGCGAAAACAACTCACAGTTGTGTCTAATATAGTCCGCGAAAACAACTCACAGTTGTGTCTAATATAGTCCGCGAAAACAACTCACAGTTGTGTCTAATATAGTCCGCGAAAACAACTCACAGTTGTGTCTAATATAGTCCGCGAAAACAACTCACAGTTGTGTCTAATATAGTCCGCGAAAACAACTCACAGTTGTGTCTAATATAGTCCGCGAAAACAACTCACAGTTGTGTCTAATATAGTCCGCGAAAACAACTCACAGATGTGTCGAAAATAGTCCGCGAAAACAACTCACAGTTGTGTCTAATATAGTCCACGAAAATAACTCACAGATGTGTCTAATACAGTCCGCGAAAACAACTCACAGTTGTATCTAAAATAGTCCACGAAAACAACTCACGTTTGTATCTAATAAATGACTATGCCTTTTCTCTGCTACGAAACACGAGTACACACTATAGTCTGTATATATCCTAGAAACTCAGAATGGGAACGATTTCACTTTTTTTTCAATTAATAAGGCAAGATTATTCGATATTACAATTATAGGTATGTCTAAAGGTATGCTTTAATGAGAATCTATCTTAGAAAATAAGTGTATACCTGTCGGTACACTAATTGAACATTGAAGTATGTGTCTTTTTTTTCAATTTTAAAAGTATTTTATTGACAATACATATATAATACAAACATATATAGAATAATCCAAGTGTGTATAAGCTTTCAACTACTTCACAGACAGAATATTACGGACTTGTTTAGAAAGTGTTTAATAGTGTTAAGCAAGCGCCAATCAGATATATGTCAGTTTGTGTATGTGCGGTGTTCATTCTCCTGTAGCCAATGCATTTTGTATACCTATGTAAATATCATGTTTATTACACGCTGATAAGTAGTAAGGCTTATCGTCAATAAAGAACTTGTAATACGTGATATAAGACGTATACGTGGTCTGGGTAATGTGATGCTCGCCCCACTACACCGTGTGCGTGTTGTGATATAATGATGTGCTATTCTGCTTAAGGATGTACACCTCTGAGAAGTCAAAAATTTCCTGTATTAAACTTTTTTTCTTATATTGATTTTTGGAAAAAGGAGATAATGGCATAGTAGAAAATGCAAAAAAATATATATGTCCGTGTGTTCGTTTTTGTGCTATGATCGGTCAAAGATAACAATTTAACACAATAGGTGATTTTAGGTGAATTTTTTTTTGCAGAACAAATTCATACAATTTCTTCCAAGTATGTTATCAGATAAGTATGAATGTTTGTAGAAATGATGAAAATATTATTTTCTTTTAAATTATGGAAGTAAAATTTCTCAATCTTATTCATTTTACTCAGAAATGCGATTTTAGTTACCCCTACCCCGTTTTTTTAATGAAAAAAGGCACATTTTTTCACCATTTTTTGTAGATTAAACGATTGATATAAAAAATACCTGTATTAAACTTTTTTTAGTATTCAATGAATCAAAAGAAATGTGTTTCTCTTTCTAAAACAGCCACAAAAATGGGTGGGTGGGTGTGCTTCTTTTTTTGTCCCATTATTATTTGTGTTATTTTTCACCTTTTTCGGGGTCAAAACTCAAAAGTGCTTCAGTTACCCTAATATGTAAAAATAATACCAATAATATATAACTTTCCATTTTTTTGCATATTATTTTAATCATATTGAACATTATAAAGTTGTACAGCAAAATTGAACCTGCTACATTTAAAAATGGTGACACAATGACAATTTAAGTGATCAATCTAGTGTAAAAAAAGGTGAAATTTTGCCCTTTGTGAAGCGCAAGAAATTCACATAAATATTCTTTTTCAAAATGGCCGCCAAATTGGTCATTTCTTTCAAATTCTTGTAAAAAATGTTCTACACGCAACAGACATCTAGGTTTTTGACATGTTTTTCAGATGTGTGTTTGCTATTACACCTATCTTAATTTGTTAAATATTACAAAAACCCGTTACACCAGATCAAAACGTGACTGAAACCTCAAAAGAGTACAAACTTAAAAGTTACAACATAATCAGCTTCATCCTTCTGTGCAATGATAAATACTTTTACTGTGACAATAAAAAAATGAACCAATACACAAACGATATTCCTACTACACTGTACCTTACATGTCAACATCAGACTCTAGACTTGAACAGTAAAGCCCCACCCACTCCCAAAACCTGTCGATATCAGACTCTAGACTGGAGCAGTGAAGCCCCACACACTCCCAAAACCTGTCGATATCAGACTCTAGACCGGAGCAGTAAAGCCCCACCCACTCCTAAAATCTGTCGATATCAGACTCTAGACTGGAACAGTAAAGCCCCACCCACTTCCAAAACCTGTCGATATCAGACTCTAGACTGGAACAGTTAAGCTCCACCCACGCCCAAAACCTCCGTTTTATGTAATCGTAAGTGGCCGAGTGGTTTTCCAAACACCAATAATTAAGGTGCCGTCTCTTAAACTATTCAGAAAACATGCTTTCTTTTAAACAATTATGGCCGATGATGCTCATTTCATTTTACCAATGACTAATATATACATTCTAATTTTAACATGATAGTATAGGCGAGGGTAGATAGATTAGCTTTTACGTTTACACAATTCTAACAAATTATCTCGGATGAACAACGTGTGTGATGCGGATTTTAACTATTCTGAGCTGATCTTGATTTTTCTGTACAAATATATTGGATCGCAATAAAGGCACTAACAAATGTACTGTACTGGAGACCACTGAACTTTGGTACATTGATGATAGAACTGTACTGGAGGCTTCTGCGGTACTTAGGAACAAACATAAATAAGCGTACATAAATAAAAAGAGGTTACATAAAAGCTTCAATCCTTGTATCATTAATGAATCATTATAGTTTAATTCATTCATATATTGATTTCAGAGGGAGCGGATTATTTTTGACAGCTGTATTTTCACAGCTATCGTTGTTGGAAACTTGATCGTGCTTCTCGCAGTATGGATGTCCAGGAAAAAACGAAGGTCACGCATGTCATTCTTTATCCAACAACTAGCTATCGCTGGTACGTATTAAGCCTACACCTAGCTATCGCTGGTACGTATTTACTCTACAACTTGCTATCACTGGTACGTATTTATCCTACAACTAGCTATCGCTGGTACATATTCATCCTACAACTAATTATCAGCGGTATGTAATTATTCTACAACTAGCTAAAACTGGTACGTATTTATCCTACAACTAGCTATCACTGGTACGTATTTATCCTACAACTAGCTATCGCTGGTACATATTCATCCTACAACTAATTATCAGCGGTATGTAATTATTCTACAACTAACTATCACGTGTACGTATTTATCCTACAACTAGCTATCGCTGGAACGTAATTGCTCTACAACTAGCTATCACTGGTACGTATTTATCCTACAACTAGCTATCGCTGGTACGTATTTATCCTACAACTAGCTATCACTGGTACGTATTTACTCTACAACTAGCTATTACTGGTACGTATTTATCATACCACTAGCTATCACTGGTACGTATTTATCCGACAACTAGCTATCACTGGTACGTATTTAACCTACAACTAGCTATCACTGGTACGTATTTATCCTACAACTAGCTATCGCTGGTACGTATTTAACCTACAACTAGCTATCACTGGTTCGTATTTGCTCTACAACTAGCTATCGCTGGAACGTATTTATTCTACAACTAGCTATCACTGGTACGTATTTATCCTACAACTAACTATCACTGGTACGTATTTATCCTACAACTAACTATCGCTGGTACGTATTTATCCTACAACTAGCTATCGCTGGTACGTATTTATCCTACAACTAGCTATCACTGGTACGTATTTACTCTACAACTAGCTATTACTGGTACGTATTTATCATACCACTAGCTATCACTGGTACGTATTTATCCGACAACTAGCTATCACTGGTACGTATTTAACCTACAACTAGCTATCGCTGGTACGTATTTAACCTACAACTAGCTATCACTGGTTCGTATTTGCTCTACAACTAGCTATCGCTGGAACGTATTTATTCTACAACTAGCTATCACTGGTACGTATTTACCCTACAACTAACTATCACTGGTATGTTATTTCCCTACAACTAACTACCACTGGTACGTATTTACCCTACAATTAACTATCACTGGTACGTATTTACCCTACAACTAACTATCACTGGTATGTTATTACCCTACAACTAACTATCACTGGTATGTATTGTCCTGCAAACTATTGCTATATATAATTGTATATCGATGACATCATATTTCAGACCTCCTTGTTGGCTTGTTCAGTGTGCTTCCTGATATTTTCCTAATGGTGGATGGGAAATGGGAAGGTGGGGAACCAGTATGTAAGATTGTCAAATATTTACAGGTATGTACAAATATTTACAGGTATGTACAAATACTTACAGGTATGTACAAATATTTACAGGTATGTACAAATGCTTACAGGTATGTACAAATATTTACAGGTATGTACAAATATTTACAGATATTTACAGGTATGTACAAATATTTACAGGTATGTACAAATAAACCAACCTTCCTGCTTTTAATGATGAAGCAGTGTATTCTTAAGCACGTTTGGTATGCGTCAAACGAAATTGCATATAACACGTATCTGACGTTGTAATGGCGTTTTTTTTATGTTGTGTAATACTGAAAGCGGTGATGTAAGTTTGTTGTGTTATAAAGATAGTGATGACGTTAAACAGTTGTGTTGTACGGAGAGTAGTGACGTAAAACTGTAGTATAATATAGATAGTGGTGACGTACAACTGTTTTGTTTTACATATTGTGGTGACGTAAAACTGTAGTATAATATAGATAGTGATGACGTAAAACTGCTGTGTTATACAGAAAGTAATGAGGTGAAACAGCTGTGTCATACAAAAAGTGATGACGATCCTGATAGTGATGACGTAAAACTGGTGTGTTATATGATGATAGTGGTGACGTAAAACGGTTGAGCTATATACTGATAGTGATGACGTAAAATTGTTGTGTTATATACTGGTAATGATGACGTTAAATGTTGTGTTATATACTGATTGTGATGACGTAAAACTGTTGTGTTATATACTGATAGTGTTGACGTTAAACTGTTGTGTTATATACTGATAGTGTTGACGTTAAACTGTTGTGTTATATACTGATAGTTATGACGTTAAACTGTTGTGTTATATAATGATAGTGATGACGTAAAACTGTTGTGTTATATACTGATAGTGATGACGTTAAATTGTTGTGTTATATACTGATTGTGATGACGTAAAACTGTTGTGTTATATACTGATTGTGATGACTTAAAACTGTTGTGTTATATACTGATAGTGATGGCGTAAAACTGTTGTGTTATATACTGATAGTCATGACGTTAAACTGTTGTGTTATATACTGATAGCCATCACGTAAAACTGTTGTGTTATATACTGATAGTGATGACGTTAAACTTTTGTGTTATATACTGATTGTGATGACGTAAAACTGGTGTGTTATATAATGATAGTGGTAATGTACAATAATTGACAGTTTCCCCCTATGTTGTTCAGGGCGTGGTGACCTATGGATCCACCTATATGTTAGTAGCCCTTAGCGTGGACAGGTGGGACGCCGTCGCCCGTCCAATAGATGGCATCACTAATGCAAGTAAGTCCGTTATTTCTTTGTTCTATGTATAGTAGTGCTGATGACTAATGCTTTTCTTATTATTTGATACTTAAACTTAAAATCGTTATTGTTATATTGTCAATTATAAGTAAGACATGAGTATAATGAAATAATTATCAACACAATGTAAGTGGTATGTTTTCATTGTTACGTTTTACTTGTGTTAAGGAACTCCTAAATTAGCATATTAAATATTTCATTACTAATGTGTACACGATATAGAAGTTAAAAAATGAAAATCTATGTTTATGCAGCAACAAAGGAGAACAACTCTTGGCTAACTTTAGTTTAAATTAGTGCTACATGTAAACCGTGTCTAAATGTCCATCTAACGTAAGATAAACATGTATAGGAATTTACAATTACCTATTACCACTAGCCCTGTAGTTGGGGTTTCGGGGTGTCCTTCTAGACCCCTGTGTCGTGTATGTTAACCATTTAATTACCTGGTATTTTGTTGCCTTGGTTCTTTGCCCAGATTTCCGGTGTAAGGTCCTTACAATATCGGCGTGGGCTGTGGCTGCTCTGTTCTCATTGCCAATGTTCCTGTTTGAGGATGTGGACGGCTTCTGTGAAATTAATTATTTCACGAATTGGCAATGGCAGGTGGGTATCAGATATTTGAAAAACAAACAGTTTTAAGCATGTACCTTTCTATCCCGAAAACTGATGTATTTAGTCAACCTTTCATTAAGGGGTCAAGTGCTTCATTCCGTGCACGTGATTTTGAACGCCCTGACTCGCTTGCGTTCTGTAGTTAACGTCAATAACTTTAGTTACAATTAAAAATAATCGTATATTACATATTTGTTAATGTCACTATGCACGAAACAAAGTAAATGTTACAGGTATCCGTATTTTCCTCTTGCCAAATATTTTTCCTTAGTCAAATGACAGAAGTTATCAAATGTTTATCATCATTATATGCTACCAATGTTTCCCTCTAAAACTATACCTAGTATTGATTGTTATTCTGTAAACCTTTGTTTTACCTCTCCAGCTGTACCTTGTATAGATTGATACTCTGTAAACCATTGTTTTACCTCCTCAGCTGTATACCATTGTTTTACCTCTCCAGCTGTACCTGGTATAGATTGATACTCTGTATACCACTGTTTTACCTCTGCAGCTGTATACCATTGTTTTACCTCTCCAGCTGTATCTGGTATAGATTGATACTCTGTATACCATTGTTTTACCTCTCCAGCTGTATCTGGTATAGATTGATACTCTGTATACCATTGTTTTCCCTCTCCAGCTGTACCTGGTATAGATTGATACTCTGTATACCATTGTTTTACCTCTCCAGCTGTATACCATTTTTTTTTATCTCTCCAGCTAAACCTAGTATAGATTGATACTCTGGATACCACTGTTTTACCTCTCCAGCTGTATACCATTGTTTTACCTCTCCAGCTGTACCTGGTATAGATTGATACTCTGTATACCATTGTTTTCCCTCTCCAGCTGTATACCATTTTTTTTTATCTCTCCAGCTAAAACTAGTATAGATTGATACTCTGGATACCACTGTTTTACCTCTCCATCTGTATACCATTGTTTTACCTCTCCAGCTGTATACCATTGTTTTATCTCTCCAGCTGTACCTAGTGTAGATTGATACTCTGTATACCACTGTTTTACCTTTCCAGTTGCATACCATTGTTTTACCTCTCCAGCTGTATACCATTATTTTACCTTTCCAGCTGTATACCATTGTTTTATCTCTCCAGCTATACCTAGTGTAGATTGATACTCTGTAAACCACTGTTTTACCTCTCCAGCTGTATACCACTGTTTTACCTTTCCAGCTGTATCTGGTATAGATTGATACTCTGTATACCACTGTTTTACCTTTCCAGCTGTATACCACTGTTTTACCTTTCCAACTGTATACCATTGTTTTACCTCTCAAGCTGTATACCATTGTTTTATCTCTCCAGCTATACCTAGTGTAGATTGATACTCTGTAAACCACTGTTTTACCTCTCCAGCTGTAACTGGTATAGATTGATACTCTGTAAACCATTGTTTTACCTCTCCAGCTGTATACCATTGTTTTACCTTTCCAGCTGTATACCACTGTTTTACCTTTCCAGCTGTATACCATTGTTTTACCTCTCCAGCTGTATACCATTGTTTTACCTTTCCAGCTGTATACCATTGTTTTATCTCTCCAGCTATACCTAGTGTAGATTGATACTCTGTAAACCACTGTTTTACCTCTCCAGCTGTAACTGGTATAGATTGATACTCTGTAAACCACTGTTTTACCTCTCCAGCTGTACCTGGTATAGATTGATACTCTGTATACCATTGTTTTACCTCTCCAGCTGTACCTAGTGTAGATTGATACTCTGTATACCATTGTTTTACCTCTCCAGCTGTAAACCATTGTTTTACCTCTCCGGCTGTACCTGGTATAGATTGATACTCTGTATACCATGGTTTTACCTCTCCAGCTGTACCTAGTCTAGATTGATACTCTGTATCCCATGGTTTTACCTCTCCAGCTGTATACCACTGTTTTACCTCTTCAGCTGTACATCGTCCTGATTGCAGTAGCAGTGTTCTTCATTCCAACCCTCATCATCATCTACTGTTATGGCGCCATCATCCACATTCTACTGCAAAAGACGTTCGAAAGTACAGCAGTTAACACAAAAGACAACAGAAAAGATCTTTCTCCGAAAAATGGTAAATTTTGAATTTCCGAAATGACTGTCTGTTTGCGGAAATGATCCCATGCCCCGAATGCCAGGTACTTTATACTGAATTGCTCGTGTGGCAGAATTTGTCGGTTATCTGTAAAACACATCAAATACTGTATACGTATGGTATTTAACGGGAAAGCATTAACGATCCTCTAAGTATTCATGTATCAACACACTGGGCACTTAAAATCATTCAACCTCAAAGAGTGTACATGTTGAATACAAATAGTGTAAAAGTGACTTATTTCACACATTATAACTACAAGGTATGTATACCAAAACACACTATGACTCGCCGTATAAAGGGCTGTTATACAAACAATATGATACAATACTACTAGGCGCAGATCAGGATCCTCTTGTGTAATTTTCAATGTACATTTAAAGATTGAAATACATGTATGTTGTATAAACCCCCGTTGCTGACAAACATACTCTATGTAATGCAATAAATTTGGCTTTCATACTAATATACACGTTAGGAATTCGTACTTGAATCATCAAACCAAAATAAAAACTGCAACTTTGGCAGAAACGTGGTCATGTTTTCTATGGTTACCATTTCCGGCTAGTGACGAGCGTAAATAGTGTGCTATTTCTGTCTAAGTCTGAAACGTCACAGAATTGGTCTTCGATTACATCCCCGTGTCATAGTTCTAATCACGTCCGATAGGAAAACATCCACGTGCCAGTTCTAATCACGTCCGATAAAAAAACATCCACGTGTCATAGTTCTAATCACGTTCGATAGGTAAACATCCACGTGACATAGTTCTTATCACGTCCGATAGGTAAACATCCACGTGTCATAGTTCTAATCACGTCCGATAGGAAAACATCCACGTGACATAGTTCTAATCACGTCCGATAGGAAAACATCCACGTGACATAGTTCTAATCACGTCCGATAGGTAAACATCAGGCGAGTTAAAGAAGCCCGAGAAGGCAGAAATGCCTAGCGCTTTTCTTTATCAAATAGCAACTGAGAGGCTTGTTATCTAATAAGACATTACTGTTACCAAAAGCCTAGCCACTGAGAGGCTTGTTATCTAATAAGACATTACTGTTACCAAAAGCCTGGCCACTGAGAGGCGTGTTATCCAATAAGACATTACTGTTACCAGTAGCCTGGCCAATGAAAGGCTTGTTATCTAATAAGACATTACTGTTACCAAAAGCCTGGCCACTGAAAGGCTTACTATCTTATAAGACATTACTGTTACCAAAAGCCTGGCCACTGAGAGGCTTGTTATCTAATAAGACATTACTGTTACCAAAAGCCTGACCACTGAGAGGCTTCCTATCTAATAAGATATTACTGTTACCAAAAGCCAGGCCAATGAGAGGCTTGTTATGTAATAAGACATTACTGTTACCAAAAGCCTGGCCACTGGGAGGCATGCTATCTAATAAGACATTACTGTTACCAAAAACCTGGCCACTGAAAGGCGTGTTATCTAATAAGACATTACTGTTACCAAAAGCCTGGCCACTGAAAGGCTTCCTATCTAATAAGACATTACTGTTACCAAAAGCCTAGCCACTGAAAGGTGTGTTATCTAATAAGATATTACTGTTACCAAAAGCCTGGCCACTGAAAGGCATGTTATCTAATAAGACATTACTGTTACCAAAAGCCTGGCCACTGAGCGGCTTGCTATCTAATAAGACATTACTGGTACCAAAAGCCTGGCCACTGAGAGGCGTGTTATCTAATAAGATATTACTGTTACCAAAAGCCTGGCCACTGAAAGGCTTGCTATCTAATAAGACATTACTGTTACCAAAAGCCTGGCCACTGAGCGGCTTGCTATCTAATAAGACATTACTGGTACCAAAAGCCTGGCCACTGAGCGGCTTGCTATCTAATAAGACATTACTGGTACCAAAAGCCTGGCCACTGAGAGGCGTGTTATCTAATAAGATATTACTGTTACCAAAAGCCTGGCCACTGAGAGGCTTGCTATCTAATAAGATATTACTGGTACCAACAGTCTGGCGACTGAGTGGCTTGCTATCTAATAAGACATTACTGGTACCAATAGTCTGGCCACTGAGTGGCTTGCTATCTAATCAGATATTACTGTTACCGAAAGCCTGGCCACTGAAAGGCTTGCTATCTTATAAGCCATTACTGTCACCAAAAGCGTGGTCACTGAATGACTTGGAATATAATAAGATATTAATGTTACCAAAAGCCTGGCCACTGAGAGGCGTGTTATCTAATAAGATATTACTTTTACCAAAAGCCTGGCCATTGAAAGACTTGCTATCTAATAAGACATTACTGTTACCAAAAGCCAGGCCACTGAGCGGCTTGCTATCTAATAAGACATTACTGTTACAAAAAGCCTGGCCAACTAGCGGCTTGCTATCTAATAAGACATTACTGTTACCAAATGCCTGACCACTGAGAGGCATGCTATTTAATAAGACATTACTGTTACCAAAAGGCTGGCCACTGAGAGACGTGTAATTTAATAATAAATTACTGTTACCAAAAGCCTGGCCACTGAAAGGCTTGCTATCTAATAAGACATTACTGTTACCAAAAGCCAGGCCACTGAGCGGCTTGCTATCTAATAAGACATTACTGTTACAAAAAGCCTGGCCAACTAGCGGCTTGCTATCTAATAAGACATTACTGTTACCAAATGCCTGACCACTGAGAGGCATGCTATTTAATAAGACATTACTGTTACCAAAAGGCTGGCCACTGAGAGACGTGTTATTTAATAATACATTACTGTTACCAAAAGCCTGGCCACTGAAAGGCTTGCTATCTAATAAGACATTACTGTTACCAAAAGCCTGGCCACTGAGAGGCTTGCTATCTAATAAGACATTACTGTTACCAAAAGCCTGGCCACTGAAAGGCTTCCTATCTAATAAGACATTACTGTTACCAAAAGCCTGGCCACTGAGAGGCTTGCTATCTAATAAGACATTACTGTTACCAAAAGCCTGGCCACTGAAAGGCTTGCTATCTAATAAGACATTACTGTTACCAAAAGCCTGGCCACTGAGAGGCTTGCTATCTAATAAGACATTACTGTTACCAAAAGCCTGGCCACTGAAAGGCTTGCTATCTAATAAGACATTACTGTTACCAAAAGCCTGGCCACTGAGAGGCTTGCTATCTAATAAGACATTACTGTTACCAAAAGCCTGGCCACTGAAAGGCTTGCTATCTAATAAGACATTACTGTTACCAAAAGCCTGGCCACTGAGAGGCTTGCTATCTAATAAGACATTACTGTTACCAAAAGCCTGACCACTGAGAGGCATGCTATCTAATAAGACATTACTGTTACCAAAAGCCTGGCCACTGAGAGGCATGCTATCTAATAAGACATTACTGTTACCAAAAGCCTGGCCACTGAGAGGCTTGCTATCTAATAAGACATTACTGTTACCAAAAGCCTGACCACTGAGAGGCTTGCTATCTAATAAGACATTACTGTTACCAAAAGCCTGGCCACTGAGAGGCGTGTTAATAATATATTACTGTTACCAAAAGCCTGCCCACTGAGAGACTTGCTATTTAATAAGACATTACTGTTACCAAAAGCCTGACCACTGAGAGGCTTCCTATCTAATAAGATATTACTGTTACCAAAAGCCAGGCCAATGAGAGGCTTGTTATGTAATAAGACATTACTGTTACCAAAAGCCTGGCCACTGGGAGGCATGCTATCTAATAAGACATTACTGTTACCAAAAACCTGGCCACTGAAAGGCTTCCTATTTAATAAGACATTACTGTTACCAAAAGCCTGCCCACTGAGAGACTTGCTATTTAATAAGACATTACTGTTACCAAAAGCCTGACCACTGAGAGGCTTCCTATCTAATAAGATATTACTGTTACCAAAAGCCAGGCCAATGAGAGGCTTGTTATGTAATAAGACATTACTGTTACCAAAAGCCTGGCCACTGGGAGGCATGCTATCTAATAAGACATTACTGTTACCAAAAACCTGGCCACTGAAAGGCGTGTTATCTAATAAGACATTACTGTTACCAAAAGCCTGGCCACTGAAAGGCTTCCTATCTAATAAGACATTACTGTTACCAAAAGCCTAGCCACTGAAAGGTGTGTTATCTAATAAGATATTACTGTTACCAAAAGCCTGGCCACTGAAAGGCATGTTATCTAATAAGACATTACTGTTACCAAAAGCCTGGCCACTGAGCGGCTTGCTATCTAATAAGACATTACTGGTACCAAAAGCCTGGCCACTGAGAGGCGTGTTATCTAATAAGATATTACTGTTACCAAAAGCCTGGCCACTGAAAGGCTTGCTATCTAATAAGACATTACTGTTACCAAAAGCCTGGCCACTGAGCGGCTTGCTATCTAATAAGACATTACTGGTACCAAAAGCCTGGCCACTGAGCGGCTTGCTATCTAATAAGACATTACTGGTACCAAAAGCCTGGCCACTGAGAGGCGTGTTATCTAATAAGATATTACTGTTACCAAAAGCCTGGCCACTGAGAGGCTTGCTATCTAATAAGATATTACTGGTACCAACAGTCTGGCGACTGAGTGGCTTGCTATCTAATAAGACATTACTGGTACCAATAGTCTGGCCACTGAGTGGCTTGCTATCTAATCAGATATTACTGTTACCGAAAGCCTGGCCACTGAAAGGCTTGCTATCTTATAAGCCATTACTGTCACCAAAAGCGTGGTCACTGAATGACTTGGAATATAATAAGATATTAATGTTACCAAAAGCCTGGCCACTGAGAGGCGTGTTATCTAATAAGATATTACTTTTACCAAAAGCCTGGCCATTGAAAGACTTGCTATCTAATAAGACATTACTGTTACCAAAAGCCAGGCCACTGAGCGGCTTGCTATCTAATAAGACATTACTGTTACAAAAAGCCTGGCCAACTAGCGGCTTGCTATCTAATAAGACATTACTGTTACCAAATGCCTGACCACTGAGAGGCATGCTATTTAATAAGACATTACTGTTACCAAAAGGCTGGCCACTGAGAGACGTGTTATTTAATAATACATTACTGTTACCAAAAGCCTGGCCACTGAAAGGCTTGCTATCTAATAAGACATTACTGTTACCAAAAGCCTGGCCACTGAGAGGCTTGCTATCTAATAAGACATTACTGTTACCAAAAGCCTGGCCACTGAAAGGCTTGCTATCTAATAAGACATTACTGTTACCAAAAGCCTGGCCACTGAGAGGCTTGCTATCTAATAAGACATTACTGTTACCAAAAGCCTGGCCACTGAAAGGCTTGCTATCTAATAAGACATTACTGTTACCAAAAGCCTGGCCACTGAGAGGCTTGCTATCTAATAAGACATTACTGTTACCAAAAGCCTGGCCACTGAAAGGCTTGCTATCTAATAAGACATTACTGTTACCAAAAGCCTGGCCACTGAGAGGCTTGCTATCTAATAAGACATTACTGTTACCAAAAGCCTGGCCACTGAAAGGCTTGCTATCTAATAAGACATTACTGTTACCAAAAGCCTGGCCACTGAGAGGCTTGCTATCTAATAAGACATTACTGTTACCAAAAGCCTGGCCACTGAAAGGCTTGCTATCTAATAAGACATTACTGTTACCAAAAGCCTGGCCACTGAGAGGCTTGCTATCTAATAAGACATTACTGTTACCAAAAGCCTGGCCACTGAGAGGCGTGTTAATAATATATTACTGTTACCAAAAGCCTGCCCACTGAGAGACTTGCTATTTAATAAGACATTACTGTTACCAAAAGCCTGACCACTGAGAGGCTTCCTATCTAATAAGATATTACTGTTACCAAAAGCCAGGCCAATGAGAGGCTTGTTATGTAATAAGACATTACTGTTACCAAAAGCCTGGCCACTGGGAGGCATGCTATCTAATAAGACATTACTGTTACCAAAAACCTGGCCACTGAAAGGCTTCCTATTTAATAAGACATTACTGTTACCAAAAGCCTGCCCACTGAGAGACTTGCTATTTAATAAGACATTAGTGTTACCAAAAGCTTGACCACTGAGAGGCTTCCTATCTAATAAGATATTACTGTTACCAAAAGCCAGGCCACTGAGCGGCTTGCTATCTAATAAGATATTACTGTTACCAAAAGCCTAGCCACTGAAAGGTGTGTTATCTAATAAGATATTACTGTTACCAAAAGCCTGGCCACTGAAAGGCATGTTATCTAATAAGACATTACTGTTACCAAAAGCCTGGCCACTGAGCGGCTTGCTATCTAATAAGACATTACTGGTACCAAAAGCCTGGCCACTGAGCGGCTTGCTATCTAATAAGACATTACTGGTACCAAAAGCCTGGCCACTGAGAGGCGTGTTATCTAATAAGATATTACTGTTACCAAAAGCCTGGCCACTGAGAGGCTTGCTATCTAATAAGATATTACTGGTACCAACAGTCTGGCGACTGAGTGGCTTGCTATCCAATAAGACATTACTGGTACCAATAGTCTGGCCACTGAGAGCCTTGCTATCTAATCAGATATTACTGTTACCGAAAGCCTGGCCACTGAAAGGCTTGCTATCTTATAAGCCATTACTGTTACCAAAAGCGTGGTCACTGAATGACTTGGAATCTAATAAGATATTAATGTTACCAAAAGCCTGGCCACTGAGAGGCGTGTTATCTAATAAGATATTACTTTTACCAAAAGCCTGGCCATTGAAAGGCTTGCTATCTAGTAAGACATTACTGTTACCAAAAGCCAGGCCACTGAGCGGCTTGCTATCTAATAAGACATTACTGTTACCAAAAGCCTGGCCACTGAAAGGCTTGCTATCTTATAAGCCATTACTGTTACCAAAAGCGTGGTCACTGAATGACTTGGAATCTAATAAGATATTAATGTTACCAGAAGCCTGGCCACTGAGAGGCGTGTTATCTAATAAGATATTACTTTTACCAAAGGCCTGGCCATTGAAAGGCTTGCTATCTAGTAAGACATTACTGTTACCAAAAGCCTGGCCACTGATAGGCTTGCTATCTAATAAGGCATTACTGTTACCAAAAGCCTGGCCACTGAAAGGCTTCCTATCGAATAAGACATTACTGTTACCAAAAGCCTGGCCACTGAGAGGCTTGCTATCTAATAAGGCATTACTGTTACCAAAAGACTGGCCACTGAAAGGTTTGCTATCTAATAAGACATTACTGTTACCAAAAGCCTGACCACTGAGCGGCTTGCTATCCAATAAGACATTACTGGTACCAAAAGCCTGGCCTCTGAGAGGCGTGTTATCTTATAATATATTACTGTTACCAACAGCCTGGCAACTGAGATGCTTGCTATCTAATAAGACATTACTGTTACTAAATGCCTGGCCACTGAAAGGTTTCCTATCTAATAAGAAATTACTGTTACCAAAAGCCTGGCCACTGAGAGGCGTGTTATCTAATAAGACATTAGTGTTACCAAAAGCCTGCCCACTGAGAGACTTGTTATCTAATAAGACATTACTGTTACCAAAAGCCTGACCACTGAGAGGCATGGTATTTAATAAGCCATTACTGTTACCAAAAGCCAGGCCACTGAGCGGCTTGCCATCTAATAAGATATTACTGTTACCAAAAGCCAGGCCACTGAGAGGCTTGTTATGTAATAAGACATTACTGTTACCAAAAGCCTGGCCACTGGGAGGAATGCTATCTAATAATACATTACTGTTACCAAAAGCCTACCCAACAAAAGGACACAGATGTTATAATTAATATAATCTTGTATCGTTTATCACATTGGACAGAACCAGCAAATTAAACCTGACATGGTCTCATCCAAATGTGGTTTTCAACAAAATTACAACCGGAAGTGAATCATGTAAAACAAACCTTACTACCAATATATGTGGTTCCGGCTGTAGAACTGTTCGATTTATATGTTCATGAAAATCTAAGATATGTATTCACACAGGATAATCTCCTACGTTTCTTATCTGAGCAGACGACAAGGTGAGCCGCAAACATCATACAAGTAATCCGCGTGACGTACCTCTCTAGCTCACTACTTAATTAACGCTAAGACGCCCAAGGCAGATAGTTCTATGAAGAATTCGAATTAACCACACATGGGTTAGTTTTTATCGGAAATATGAAATTAATCGTTGTCACATCGACTAAATCTGTGTGGCCTCCTAAAGTAATAGGTCAGTTTCAGTAGATTTCTCAGTTTATCTGTTTAGTAAAGAAGGTCGGCCTGATGTCCCCAGGATGAACTTCCAGCACCGAGTTTATCTCATGGTAAAACAATAGATTTCTACCACCGACCAGTAACTACTATTAGTTACTATTTCTAGTTACTGATAGGGTTTATAGAACCTACTAGTAGTTATTGGTAGTTATGAAAGTAGCTAGTTTAGTTATTGATAGTGTAGAAGTTACTGGTAGTAAAGAAAGTAGCTAGTTTAGTTACTGATAGTGTATATAATAACTAATAGTAGCTACAAGTAATTTAGTAACTGGTGTTTCACATTGTAATCATCTCGCTCAAATATGGTTTTGTTAAGATTATAATTTTTTTGTCCTTTTGTGTGTAACTAGTAATCTTTTTCTGCAGGTTTTGATACACATAAGTCCCCACGACTATTCCCGAAAAGTAAACAGAGGAACCTTTCTCGAAGTTCAAGAGGAATCATACCACAGGCTAAGATCCGAACTATTAAGATGACTACAGGCATTGTAATAGGTACGTATGTCTGTCAGAGTGACAACACTATACCTTTACTGTTATGATTACGTTATAGTGGTAGGTACGTATCTTTGTCAGAGTGACATCGCTATACCTTTACTGTTATGATTACGTTATAGTGGTAGGTACGTATGTCTGACAGAGTGACAACACTATACCTTTACTGTTATCATTACGTTATAGTGGTAGGTACGTATGTTTGTCAGAGTGACAACACTATACCTTTACTGTTACCATAACGTTATAGTGATAGGTACGTATGTTTGTCAGAGTGACAACGCTATACCTTTACTGTTATCATTACGTTATAGTGATAGGTACGTATGTTTGTCAGAGTGACATCGCTATACCTTTACTGTTATCATTCCGTTATAGTGATCGGTACGTATGTCCGTCAGAGTGACAACACTATGCCTTTACTGTTACCATAACGTTGTAGTGATAGGTACGTATGTTTGTCAGAGGGACAACACTATACCTTTACTGTTAACATAACGTTATAGTGCTAGGTACGTATGTTTGTCAGAGTGACACCACTATACCTTTACTGTTAACATAACGTTATAGTGCTAGGTACGTATGTTTGTCAGAGGGACGACACTATACCTTTACTGTTATCATTACGTTATAGTGATAGGTACGTTTGTCTGTCAGAGAAACAACACTATACCTTTACTGTTATCATTACGTTATAGTGATCGGTACGTATGTCTGTCAGAGTGACAACACTATTCCTTTACTGTTATCATTACGTTATAGTGATAGGTTTGTATGTCTGCCAGAATGACAACACTATACCTTTACTGTTATCAGTACGTTATAGTGATAGGTACGTTTGTCTGTCAGAATGACAACACTATTCCTTTACTGTTATCATTACGTTATAGTGATAGGTATGTATGTCTGTCAAAATGACAACACTATACCTTTACCGTTATCATTACGTTATAGTGATAGGTACGTTTGTCTGTCAGAGAAACAACACTATACCTTTACTGTTATCATTACGTTATAGTGATCGGTACGTATGTCTGTCAGAGTGACAACACTATACCTTTACTGTTATCATTACGTTATAGTGATAGGTATGTATGTCTGTCAGAATGACAACACTATACCTTTACTGTTATCATTACGTTATAGTGATAGGTACGTATGTCTGTCAGAGTGACAACACTATACCTTTACTGTTATCATTACGTTATAGTGATAGGTACGTATGTCTGTCAGAGTGACAACACTATACCTTTACTGTTATCATTACGTTATAGTGATAGGTACGTATGTCTGTCAGAGTGACAACACTATACCTTTACTGTTATCATTACGTTATAGTGATAGGTACGTATGTCTGTCAGAGTGACAACACTATACCTTTACTGTTATCATTACGTTATAGTGATAGGTACGTATGTCTGTCAGAGTGACAACACTATACCTTTACTGTTATCATTACGTTATAGTGATAGGTACGTATGTCTGTCAGAGTGACAACACTATACCTTTACTGTTATCATTACGTTATAGTGATAGGTACGTATGTCTGTCAGAGTGACAACACTATACCTTTACTGTTATCATTACGTTATAGTGATAGGTACGTATGTCTGTCAGAGTGACAACACTATACCTTTACTGTTATCATTACGTTATAGTGATAGGTACGTATGTCTGTCAGAGTGACAACACTATACCTTTACTGTTATCATTACGTTATAGTGATAGGTACGTATGTCTGTCAGAGTGACAACACTATACCTTTACTGTTATCATTACGTTATAGTGATAGGTACGTATGTCTGTCAGAGTGACAACACTATACCTTTACTGTTATCATTACGTTATAGTGATAGGTACGTATGTCTGTCAGAGTGACAACACTATACCTTTACTGTTATCATTACGTTATAGTGATAGGTACGTATGTCTGTCAGAGTGACAACACTATACCTTTACTGTTATCATTACGTTATAGTGATAGGTACGTATGTCTGTCAGAGTGACAACACTATACCTTTACTGTTATCATTACGTTATAGTGATAGGTACGTATGTCTGTCAGAGTGACAACACTATACCTTTACTGTTATCATTACGTTATAGTGATAGGTACGTATGTCTGTCAGAGTGACAACACTATACCTTTACTGTTATCATTACGTTATAGTGATAGGTACGTATGTCTGTCAGAGTGACAACACTATACCTTTACTGTTATCATTACGTTATAGTGATAGGTACGTATGTCTGTCAGAGTGACAACACTATACCTTTACTGTTATCATTACGTTATAGTGATAGGTACGTATGTCTGTCAGAGTGACAACACTATACCTTTACTGTTATCATTACGTTATAGTGATAGGTACGTATGTCTGTCAGAGTGACAACACTATACCTTTACTGTTATCATTACGTTATAGTGATAGGTACGTATGTCTGTCAGAGTGACAACACTATACCTTTACTGTTATCATTACGTTATAGTGATAGGTACGTATGTCTGTCAGAGTGACAACACTATACCTTTACTGTTATCATTACGTTATAGTGATAGGTACGTATGTCTGTCAGAGTGACAACACTATACCTTTACTGTTATCATTACGTTATAGTGATAGGTACGTATGTCTGTCAGAGTGACAACACTATACCTTTACTGTTATCATTACGTTATAATGATACGTGTGTGTCTCTGTCATAGTGACAACACTATACCTTTACTGTTATCATTACGTTATAGGGATAGGTATGTATGTCTGTCAGAGTGACAACACTATACCTTTACTGTTATCATTACGTTATACAACATACTTCAAAGTCAGTACACAAAGACAAAATATACTACAACACAAATATACTACAAGGTCAGTACACAATAACAAAATATACCATAACACCAATATACTACACGGTCAGTACACAACAACAAAATATAAAATATCAATATACTACAAAGTCAATACACAAGGACAAAATATACCATAACACCAATATACTACACGGTCAGTACACAACAACAAAATATAAAATATCAATATACTACAAAGTCAATACACAAGGACAAAATATACCATAACACCAATATACTACACGGTCAGTACACAACAACAAAATATAAAATATCAATATACTACAAAGTCAATACACAAGGACAAAATATACCATAACACCAATATACTACACGGTCAGTACAGCGTCAACACACAAAGATAATATAGTCCACAGTGTAAAAGCACAAAGACTAGATAAACCACAGCTTCAACACACAAAGAAAAGATATACCACAATGTCAACACACAAAG